AATCACAAATTACTATTTGATCCGAATACAACTAACAAAGCTGCCTTGGCTCCGTGGTAACCCCGCCGTCCTGGACACAGCTAGACATTTATACGCGGGTTCGAATCATAAGATTTTCAGTGTGACTATTTTGCTCGAAATGATTTCATAAATTTGCGTTAGATTACTATAAGAGGAAACTCGTACGTGCGGAGGGTGGGCGGTTCACTCACGGCGCAGTTGGTTTCGTGCTTAGTTGCAAAAAATACTTAGCCATCAGAAAAGCATGGTAACAGCAAGTCACGAGTTCAGATCCCAGATGACGCATGTTCACCATAACAACGACCTGGCCCTGCAATCGAAAACAAATGCAACCTCTCATGTGTCCCAGCAAATTACCTTTTGCATAAAAATGCGTTTTAGTTTAAAATTAGTGATCGATTTTGACAACAAATTATTGCTCGTCATTATCATAAAGTCTGCGACGTCAGTTACATTTCTTTTCTCTTTGCTTTGCTTTACCTAATCATACATTTTGTTGTTTTTTTATCCCCCCCCCCCCCCCTTTGGTCTTGCTTAACAAGAACGTACATATATTCATACAGTACCCGGGGCAACACCGCAGTAGACGTTTGAAATGACAAAGACTACTCACAACTAAAACCGCCAATTTCTGAATCGCCTTTATCTCTCATCGTGCTCTATTATGTCACAGGTGAAGTCAAACGTAAACTCAGTGTAACCAAGGAGTTATAACAGACCTTCTGTTATAACTCCTTGGTGTAACACAAAATGAAAATAAAAGCACTTGAAGTCATATAGCTAGGAACAAGGCAGGCAGGCTTATCAATAAAAGCGACCGAAATTGAAATGATTCAGTAACTTTCCCTGTATACAGTAGAATCACGTCACACACCCATATAAACCGCATTCAAAATGAAAATAACACCATCTGAAGTCATCTAAATAGGAACGTTTCTGGCAGGCTTATAAAAAAGCGACGTCACTTGAATTGATTCAGTAGCTTTCTGCGGTCAGCAGAAAAATTGGGATCTTCCCTGCGAAATTATTTGCCAAATATATATATTTTCAAAATTGCCTTCATCGCAATTGCTTGAATGGAAAGCGCATCAGCTTATACATATATTTGAAGTTTTTTAACGGTTCCCTCTTCTAGTGGGGTTGCTAAAACTTAAACCGTCCCATTGTGCCCTTCAACGTCACTGGTGAAGCCAAACTAAAGTTCAGCATAAAACAAAGTCATAGTAAAAAAAAAAGGTAATCTATCTAGGAACGCTCCGTGTCGACTTCTCAAATAAGTGCTCGTGTACATGATGAACTTTAATAACAACGTTGATGATAATTCCCTGTTCGAAGACTCGCGATGTGCGGGATGAAATACATATGTACAGCTCACGGCCTGCTGATTGTTATGGCAGATATATACATGTACAGCCAAACTGGCCCTTCTCTGTGAGAAAGTTGAAAGTTTCACATTTGATCCAAACTCCACCGACGAAGCTTCCTTGGCTCCGTGGTAACTCCGCCGTCCTGGACACAGTTAGACATTTATACGCGGGTTCAAAAGAATCCTGAGAATTTCAGTGTGCCTTTTTTGCAGTGTTTGCTCGAAATAATTTCAAAAATTTGCGTTAGATTACTATAAGAGGAAACTTGTACGTATGGTGGTTGGGCGGTCTGTCACAGCGGAGTCGCTAGCGTGTTTGCTTCCAAAAAAAACAGCAAGCCATAAGCAAACCATGAGTAGGCCTACCTAGTAGGTGCAGTTATTTGTCGAATATGTTTTTTCC